TCATTTTCTCTCAAAGCGCTCACATTACCACCAGATAAGAGTAAATAATGTCCGGCTATGTCTCTGTGATGGTTTGATTTTGTCAAGGTCTTTATGTCCAGTCGATCTGTCTCCATGTTATAAAACATTTACCGCCTCTGTGATTCTTTTGAATCACAAAAACCCCATTTTTAATCATGTGTACTTGTAAAAATGTTGATCAAGTTTATTTTTCTGAGATTATTTCACCTGAAGAAGCCTCAAAAGCACAATGACGCAGCCTTTATCAATTTAAAAACTAAAAAGTTGCAAAAGCACAGTTTTCCATGTAGTTGATTCAGTTTATCTTGCCTTAATCCATGCATTTGGTTGGCCTATGTTTTGGTATTTTCCATCGACAATAACAAGATGTTATTTTCCAATTGTATATTGGGAACTGCCTTTCCCTCTCAGGACCGCTCCAGTGTTTATTCCCTGGCAGTAAGAACCAGAAGAATGTCTGTTATCGGTGGGGCTAATGGTCGACGAAGTGGCAGGAGACTGCAAATGAAAGCTGCACCACAGCTCCCCTCTGCTTTCACATCTGCTCCGAGCAGGAGGCGCGGTGATTGGCAGGACGATGTTGCCACTTCCCTCCTCCGTGTAGTTTCATAAACAAGAAAAGTGAGCTCCATCCCTACCTGGCCCTGACCTTCAGCTACAGCACAGCGTCTGTGATGTGGAAGGGAGGTGCAGTACCTTAATGGCATTGTGCTGGAATCTCAGGGTGTTGCTTGTCATCGGTTCACATCAGGCAGCTTTAGGTGTCTGCACACCGGTGGCACGCCAGCATCAGGAGGAATTGTGACTGACAGCTGGATAAATGAAAAAGCAGGGGCCTCGTATAGAATGCAGAACGGATTCAGAGCCCTGCCTTAACAGGTTTCCACGTTGTGTTGCAGAACCTCTGGGGTGCTTGTCTGAAGAGGAGGGTAAACACAGCCTTGGGAAATTCTTGTTTTCGCCCAGCAGGACGCGCCTTTGACAAGATGTTATTTTTCAATGAGTCACTTTTCATGAGTCTCTTCTGCCTGCATATTAACTCCTTGACATTGTTGTTTTGTGTGTGTGTTTCAAAGCATTCAGCCGCCAGGCACTGAGGATGCGGCTTTCTGTGGTGCCAGCCATCTGATTAAACACATCGAGCGTAAAAAAAAAGTCAACCCGCGCCCAGTTTCTGAGACAGCATGATGGCGGTACCAAGACACAGCAATCTAAATGTCCTTTAGCTTTTCTGTACATTTAATGCGTTTAATACAAAGAGCAGAAGAGAAGCATCCGGCCGATTTAAGAAACAATTTTGGTCATTGTAATGCTTTCACAATTGAATTTTGTAAATTACAGTTTGTGTGGGGCTCTGTTTAGGGTTAAAAAACAACACGATGATACATCTCCCCTCTGTATTGGTTAATGCTTGTGAGATTAATATAAATGCTTCACAAAGCCGCTTTGATAATGCTAGGCAATGATAGCACAAATAAATCCATAAAAACTCCTTCACTCCTAAGACTTCGCTGTTCTGTCACTGAGTTCTGTGACAGGCCATTGGCCATTACACCCAGATCCCCCTACACCTGGGGACTGGATGGGGTCACCTGCTCGTGCATTTTGAGATGAAATCATAGACTCTTTTTCCACCCACTATCACCTTCTCCAAGGCATTCAAGCAGCATCATTCTGCAGTATTCAATATTTTTCAATTGCACCAGCAGACACAAACAACAAAGCTGCGCTGACATGTACATAGAAGAACTGATTTATGGTCTGGAGTCGGCCTGGTCCCACAGCTGAAATACTCAGTGGATGAGAGAAGTATCCGTGATAGGATGCGCATTTACTTAAAGATTGTTTAGGAAGAGAATAGATACATGAATTCTTGTTTCCACGATCCCACTGGGAGAGTGCAACATCTGGAAAGACTGGAATACAATGGAGCTCGGGCTGCTTAGAAATCAGACCTTTTCCTGAGAATAGGAAGATTACATCACTTTGTCCCTCTGTACAATGCAGGGGAAAAAGCTTCAATTTTCAATGTTTTAAGGTGAGACTGGAGTAGCGCTGAGTGGGATAATTCACCTAAATGAGTCTTCACCGTAAGATCGATTCTGACCTTTTTGAAATACTGTACTGCACTGAAGTCCATGTAACATATGTATAATTATGTTACATAACCCTTATTATTAACATGTGGAAAGGTCACTTACTGTAGAGCCATCTCATATAACAAGGCTGTTGAATCTGTAACTGTGAACTGACAGCAGCTAATCTTTGAGGAGGAGTGGGGTTAAACAGTAACAGTACTGTAGTAAGTACAATGATACAGCAGTTACAGCTTTAATAGCAAGAAACGTTCAAACGCAATTAGTTAATCAGCACAGCTCAATACTGCTTCAAACTTTAGTTTTTAAGGCTGTAAGTACGTTGTTGCTGCAGAACAAACTGCACAGAGAAGAAATGCTTGATCATCGCAGGTCAATTGCAGTACTGTACGTCACACCCCTCCAGAACAATTACGTGATAGGAATACAGAGAATGTTTGTCATTTCTTCTGTTCGGGGTTGAATGGGGTTTTCCATCCCAGTCCATCTCGGATGGAAATCTATGATAAGTGAACTCAATATGATTGGACTTAGCCACTGAATATTTATGATATCAGGCTAGTATAGGCATTCAAGGTGGGGATGAGTATGCTTACAGATAGGTTCACTTAAAAATCTGCAATCACCTGTACTCCTTTACTGTAGCTGTTTATATACATAATTACAATATTTGCAGAGCAGATAATCCAGGTAGTTTTACAAATGATTTACAAGTGTTAGGTATAACTGGATTGCTCTGTTCAATACCACAAATTAAATCGATAGTTCTGTATCGTGATTTGTAGAATTAACTAGAAATAAACACAGGGGAGGACATAATGTGCTTACCGTAGTTCAGATAACAGGGGTATATTGACAGTGTTATTTAATTGGAATAGCAACATTATATACTAGATTAGAAATAATAACATATTATTTTAACAATATAGCTTGTGTTCCTCAAGGATGCTAATTAAAATAAGGTAATATATTTTGTAACAGCTACAGAGTATCTGAAATATGTCCACCAGTTTTACACTTAGACATATCAAATTGAAAAACTTTATCTATTAATGTGATACTAGGAGTATTGGTTCTTGAAAGTGATAGAGCACAGCAACTTACAGTATAAATAATTTAGAATCACAGCAGGATTCAGGGAATTTTGTGAACTGGCTACATACCCAACTTTTGCCCCGTCACAAATTGCTTGGACATGTAGAGAACGGTCTAAGATCTTCATATGTATGTCGTGAGAGGCATCATACATGTAGCAAATGCTATTGGATCCATTGTTGATTCCACCTGTTGCATTTTTAATGCCTCCCAGCGTATTCTGCACTCACTCGGACTAGTGAAGTTTTACATGTCATAAATCAATATATTGTAGCGTATACGGGTTCTTTCAGGACAAAGGACTAGTGGAGACGTGATACGTGAACCAAGCGACAGCTTTTATTCTTCTGACCAACAACACAAAAACCAAACACAGGATATATACCACATGAGGAGACTGATGGAACACGTACAATTTGTTAGGGTGGTCCTCCTTAACAACAGGCTATATACAGTACACTTATATGGCTACACCGGACACTAAAACTGCTATGACACTATTTACATATGCAGGGTCAGCTGCTGGTCATCGTGCTGACCCTCAGACTCTCCTCGGCTATAACTCCCAGCCTGCTCCGCGGTACTATGAGCGCCGAGGTGCGCTTCCTCCTCACCACCGGGCGAGGGCGTTACAATATAATATAATTATAATAGTAATTCTACCATGGATGTCTACAGTATAAACCTGGCTTTTCCTATGTTGTAACCTTGCCTGATTAAATGTGATGATGATGTCAGAAAGGCTCCTCCAATCATCATTGCCTCTCCTGTCAGGCTCCAAGGAGCTCACAGCATGTCAAGTGGCACATGATGATGGTGGGCGTGTCAGAGAGGTGTGTTCACGTGCCTCTTTCTCTCCCGAATAAGGTAAAAAACAGGGCCTCTCAGAAGGCCAGTTCCACTTTGGGCCAGTACAGTATAAGAAAATAGTCACTGCTTCCCACATTTTTAATGAACGCTAGAGCACATGGAAGTCACAATGGCATGGATTATGTTGTGGTGATGTATATTTTATTGCCCCTTTTACTTCATGATAAATCGTGTACTGTATTAATTACTAAGTTGCTATCCAAACGTATCTTTCAGACCCAGATCACAGGGCTGGATATGTTAATAAATACATTGAATGACTGTTATTTGTGCAGTGTGCCCTGACTTCCTCTCCCTCTGTGATCATGACCGAAATTAAAAGAGACACTGGGAGGCACAGAATTCAAATCACCCTTTCAGTTTTAATTCATGCCATTCCGACATGTCTAAGTCAAACATATTTAATTAAATGTCTGTTTTGCATTATCATGGTGAATGATTATTTTGGGGGAGATAATATTCCTAATGGAAGCAATTCAGAAACCAAACTTGAATGACACCCTGCTCATGAATGCTAAGTGTTGAAAGACAAGTACCAGAAAAACGAGGAAGTCCTTTTCCTTTTTCGTGTGTCCAAATTCATGTGGGTCATGTTTCTCCAGACCTCACACATTTTATCATTCAAAACTGAAATCTTTAACGTGCAGAGGAACAAACACAATTATTTAAATGACCGCTCTTCTCCCGTCTCACTATTAATTGACGCGTTAATTGAAAACAACTTTCAGGTTCAATTTCAAACACACACAGACATTTCTGCTGAAATTGCTACTTCAACAGGTGGATATTTTAGTATAAAGTGTCTTCTTAATTCAGAGAGCACGACTGCGCTTTACATAAAACGCCGTTGTTGTTGTTGTCAAATCAAGTCTGAGTTTGCCTCTTCCCCGCCCCTCCCTGTTTTTTTTTCCCCTCCAGCCCCCACGGTGGTGTCTTTCTCCTTTGACGTGGGGAACGGGCCAGTGGGGCTCACGGTCAGGTCGCCCACGCCGCTCAACGATGACCAGTGGCACCGGGTCAGCGCCGAGCGCAACGTCAAGCAGGCCGTCCTGCAGCTGGACCAGCTGTACAAGGAGGTCCGCCAGGCGCCGCCGCAGGGACACACCAGGCTGGAGCTGTACAGCCAGCTTTACGTCGGTACGCACGTCTCAGCCCTCGCTCCCGCTGGACGCCGCGGAGACGTCTGCGCCACTGCGCTCCTAGGGAAGCTGTCCCATGTGGCGGCCACACTGTCACACAGCGCTGGGGGCTGCTTGTTTTTTCAATTTTCTGATAAATCTGTGAGCATTGGCTCTTCGCTATGCGAGGGGGGGGGTGGGGTGGTTGGTCCCATGTAAAAGAATTCAATGAAGGGCGGACCCTCGGCGATGAAGAAAGACACGTTTACTGTAATGAAGTAGCAGGGTGTCTTGCGAGGTGCTTCGGTTTGTTGTAACAGAAAGAGTAAGGTTCTGGATCCCGAGAAAAAGTAAAACAGATGAGTTAATTGCATGCAAGGAACAATAAAGCCGAAGTCTTGTTTCCCGCAAGAAACAACAAAACCGAAGTATTGTTCAAAGTGCTGGTACAAACTTCCAGTTTATATAGGGTTTTCCTACTGCTTCTGACGTCACTCGTTATTATGGTAAAGGGGGGAGGTCACTTGCTTGGCCAGTTTACAGCTTTTTGGCCAAATGGTCAGGGATTAAGTCCCCAGCGAGTTTCCTAGCTCGCATCTGGAATCCTTATCAGTTCTCCCTTTCCCCTAATCTTCCCCTAGTCTAATCTTCAAGCAGAAAGGACTTAATTTAACCCCCATCTTTACATTTTGTATTTTACTTCAAGTTGTATCAGATGTGGTTGGGAAGAAGCCAGACTGGGCTAGAAGCACCGTTTCACATCTCCCCGGGTTTATGTCTCGCCATGCGGACGAGTCATTACGAGCTGCTTAGAGACGAGATCGTATTCCATCGCAGCTAAAACCATTTTTAATTATTTTCTTGCTTTATATCAAAATTGGTGACTTGAATGTGTCATTTACCATAATTTTGCTGTGTGTCTGTCTTTAATCATTTATATATATATATATTCCATTGAGTCCTTGAAAAACATTCTTTGAATTAATACAGTACTTCGCTCAACTTGTTTTTCTTTTCTGTTTTCATGATTTCTCATTTTCTTCTCCTTTTGTTCCGTTAACGTCTGTTGTAACCGGGCTGCCACACAGGGAAATGGACTCCATGGTCCTGTCAGGCTAGTAGGTACCTTTTCTGCGTCACACATACAGTGTGTCCTGTGCGTCCCCTCCTCCCTGCATAAGGAGTAATTCCAGTCATGGTCGTGTGAATGGAATATCATTGCCAACCTTCTTGGAGCTTGGCAAGAGGATCTCGGCAATGGCAGTCTCTCCAGTCCTTTTGGGTGTCTGGACAAGTGTTGTGACCAGTAAATCCTGAACAAACTAAGTTCTGAACAAACTCCAGCTAGCGGTGCTATAAGAACGTCTGTCTTGATTATTTCCTGTGCATTTTCCTTCTATCCTGAGCAATGCCATTGACTGACACACAGTGGGTCATGGTAATTGCAAAGTGCATTCCATTTTTTGTGTTTAAAATGACATGATTGGAATGTTTCTTAATGGAAGCAATGACAGCCTTTGATAACACTTAGAAATGTCTTATTCTTCGAATTCATTAAAAGCAGTCGCAGTGCGCCATACAGGTCCATGAATATTTAAATGATCTGAAAGATAGCTATCTATTAATGGACTGGATGTTGGGAAAGTACAGAAACCCCTTACTAGCATGTATTCCTATTAATGAATGTATATATATATAAGGTAATTTGAAATTTGGTAAAAATGAAGGGATTTCCGTTGGCGTAGAGCATCACACTGGGTCCCAGTTTTTGATACCCTGAAGGCTTCAGTGCAGTTTGAATACTGCAGGTGTTGCAGTCTTGTGTTGACTGACGTTGAAGCAGGACTTGGAGCTGAAGATTTTCCATGTTCCTCCATTCCTCTCGGGTGACAATCAGCACCTGAACACGTTGTGTCCTGAGCCGGCCTCGGGTGGTTGTGAAGGCTGGACTCCATACCGACCCATACTGACCCACTGATAGGGCCCTACAGTGCTGGATGAAACACTGCCAAAATAATGTCTCTGTCTGTCCTGTTGGATTTGGGGATGTGATTGAATGCTAGAGGCATTATTAGTCTATGGGTGTGTCCATGTCTCAGGCACTGTCTCTCTCTTTGAGGTTTAGAAACAGCGTCTGGCAGCACTTATGCCAATTTTTCCAGTCAGGTTCAAGACATGATGCCTTATATTCAAAACATTGTCCCATTGGGTGGCGGCTGCTCTTTGACATGAACTGAATAGGAGGTTATTTCTGTGGTGACCATGTCCCATGGTCTGATTGGCCGCCCTACGCTGGTTTCTTCAATGAAAGTGGATGTGCAGGACTCACGCCAGTGTGACATCCCTTTGAGAGAGGGAAGGGCGACAGGTTACCATGGTCATGTTGGGCCTATTACTGGCGATGGCAGAAGTGCAGAGATCTCTGCCCTGGGGACAGAGAGCAGTAATATTCATGGCCTCTCTTCTCTTTCAGCAACCTGGGTTACAGGAATAACCTAATGTTTTCTCTAATTCAAAATTAGAATTCATGCGTCAAGGCTGCAGGAGATAATTGATAAGACTGAAGCAGGCCACATGTCTAATTTTTTCTTAATCCTCAAAGGCAAGAAATCTGCAGTTGTATTTTTCAGTTATCAGTTGTTCAATGATTATCATGTTTTAATGAATCCAAGTGTGCTCAACTAGTGAGTGAAATAGCAAGTAATTTTCTGAGCTATAAACCCAGCTAATTTTTGCTTATGGTTATTTTACTCCATATTTGGGTAGGTTGTTTTCATGCAAATAGAAGATTTACATCAGATACAATTGAATGCATGCCCAGCAAAACACGATCCTTCTTGCAGGATGTCATGCCAGAATGAGCGACTCTTAGAGAACATGTTTTGTTTTCTTATAGAAACCAGTTTGCATGCAGGTCAAACAAATTGCTGCAATGCAAGGCTAAAATCCAGTCACGTTCAAAAAACAGAAAATGCGCTTGTTTTGAATTCTTTGACAGCTGTACTTGCTGTTCTTCCTTTGTTGTTATCTGCTCTCTGCACCTTGTTTTGTGCTTTATCCACGATGTGGGATGCTCGATTTCAAGGTGAAGCAGAGGCCCAGATCCCTGTACTGAGAATGTTGTTACAAAGGGGAGTTTCAGAGCCTGATCACAAGCTCAGGCAGCCTGCAGTCAGTTATGTACTCAATGTAGTCTGACGGAGCCCAGACAATTGCATTTTGGAAACTTGGGGTCAATGTTCATTGGTTTTTTTACCATATGCAAAACACAAGGAAGAGATTCCATGTAGGATAATTTCTGTGGGAAGTCAGTCAGGATTTCTCTGTGTGTTATTTAAACTTCAAAAACGAAAAACAGTGCTCGAAATGCAATCCTTAAAAGCGAAAAGGAGCACATCTATAAAAATCCCAGAGGGGCTCCTGTATCGAACTATAAAAAAAAAAAATTAAATCCAGACTTCGAGGATGTTCTTCATTATCACCTGTATAGTATAATTAGACCTATTTTTCAGACTGACAAGTTAAAGTATTTGGATGTGTTCTGCATTTTAAGGTTGAGAAACATAATCAAAATAACTCAATGCTCAGTCTGATGTATTTTTAGAAGATGCACTCACTGGAATTTCAGAATTTCATGCTGTTTTTGTTGTCAAAAGCCTCAAGGCTTCGGCTCCCTTGCTCTCTGGTTCAGGTGCCGCAGGAGGACAGAAGGGTTTCCTGGGATGTATCCGTTCTTTGAAAATGAATGGCGTGACCCTTGACCTGGAGGAGAGGGCGAAGGTCACCCCAGGCGTCAAGCCTGGCTGCTCGGGACACTGCACCAGCTACGGGATGTACTGTCGGAACGGAGGGAAGTGTGTGGAGAAATACAACGGCTACTCCTGTGACTGCTCCTCGACAGCGCATGACGGACCCTTCTGCACCAAAGGTAAGTCCGCAGCTTGTGGAAACGAGCTGTCCTCGGCTGAGGCCGCGTCGTATTGGGAGCAGAGTTAAAAAAGGGCAACAGCAGTTGCGTGGCATAAGGCCATGTGTTTTGTAAAACGTTCACTAGTCCTTTGTTCTCTGCAAAACTAGCCCTCTTTGTTTCTTTCTGTTTGCTGTTAATTCGCGTTACAGCGCACGTTAAAGAAGGACAACGTGTCCTTCTTTAGAAAATAAAAAATAAATATTTTATTTTCTTTTTTATAAAATAAATAGATTTCTAAGTTGGCTCTTAGTCAAGGTCAGCAGCTCAAAGCACTGTAGGTGCAGATCTGAAAATGAGGAGAGATGTGCCAAGGGACATGGGAATAAAATGAGGCTTTATTTACTCACTCCCAGTTAAACAAACTACCCTTTTAGCCTTTTTCTTGTACGCTTCAAGATGCAGCTTGCTCTTGTTTCAAGACAAAGTCTTCAGTGATAACACTGCTCATTTGATTGTTTGACTAGTGAGAAACAATCCTCTTCTGATTCCAGAGTTCCCCTGTGATTCCTGACGATACTATAGTACTCAGACTGGGCTTTGTCTCTCAGCTCAAAAGCTTGTCTTCTGTTCTGTCCCGACAAAACAAGAGAGTGAGAGCTCTGCAGGTCGACAGGCAATCAGCTGTGGGATTCCTCCACGTGTTGTTGGCTCTTTTCATGTTTTCTGCCACAGCAAGCCTGAGGTGATGTGTGCAGTATGTGCAGGAGAATGATGGGTGACAATGACATGTGTAGATCATGAGTGGTTTTCCTCCATTTGAATATGGTGATGGCTTTGCCAACATCAAAGGGCCTCTCAAGTTCTTCTTGCTCATGTCTGAGACTGAGATCAAGTACTCCCAGCCCCAGGTGGAGCTACACACACTCCTCTTCTCAATCCCCAGAGAGAGAGCAGCTTTTGTTACCTGCCTGCCGCTGCAGTGTATGGTTTGTGTACATGTTTGAGAAATGCATAACATCCCACGTTAGCGCTGATTAACATTTTTTACATATTTTACACATCGATTCTGGGGCAGTTCAGTCAATAATTTATTTTCCTTCTTTTTTGCCTGCAGGTTAAAGTAATTGCATTCCACAGTTTGGAAAGAAGTAGTTGCTAAATAATAAATTGTTCGAGCACTTAGGAGCACTGGGCACATTGTTTTTTAATTGTGTGCACCTTCTCCCTGAATTGGCAGCTGCAAACAGCCCCGAGCAGGTTCGTGATAAAGTGGGGCAGTGCTTCTGCGGCGGTGATGGAGACTCAGTGCATGGTAATGAGGCTGTGATAGCAGCACAAGCATCATGTCTCTCGCAGCTATCGCTCTCTCCAATCTTGACGCGCTCCCCTCCAAGATGTTTGTCATTTCTGTCAGGCGAGCACTGGAGGTTAAGCACTGTTCACAGCTCGAGCAAAACTGATACTTTCGACATGACCGGAAAGATGAAGGCAGGAGCCCATTGAGGAGTTTTGGAAGGCTGGCCGGCGTGGAGCTGACATGCATTCTGATGGTCTTCTGTGTTTGGATCAGAGGAGCACGGCTTCTGAGAGACGTCCTGTTGCCTTTTTGCCTTTGTTTGGTCGTTAGTTTTTGAGAAATGGAGCGGATTATTTTTCCCGGGAAATTGCCAACGAGTGCTATTTATACTAAGGGTGTGGATTCGTCTCCTGCTTCCTTGTGGCTGTTTGTGAATTAGCCATCTTTCTTGTCCTGGATTACAATCTCAGGGAAGCAGAAACCTTCTTTAACTTTTTAACCTTTTTAAGGTATCCTAGAGACAGAGGTCTTTGTTCATTACCCTATGCTATTTACACGTATTTAAAGTTATTTACACTTTTCATTGAAGTGTCTGACTCTATAAACTTGTCACAGCTCAGTTCACGTGTGACCACTCAATGTATTTTGGCAAAACTTGAACCTGGTTCGGACAGAATAAGTCTGTCTCAAGGAAACAGAAAGATCTGTAACCCCTAATTAGAGCCCCACACTTACCTACCTTTTGATACAAGTTGTCAGTAAGGACCCTCAGAGTAGCTTCACTATGAATATTTAATAGAATGACCAAAAAGAAGCTACAGTACCTCAGAATGTTTGCACAAAACCCTGAAACAAGCGCCAGGTGTTCAGTGTGTGTACTCCTCAGTAGTTAAATACCGTGTATACATGTACATACACATGAATAAATATATGCATACTAGCCATGAATGGTTTTGTGTGTAAAAAGCTATGTGATTCTTCCTTGGCTCTCACTTCTCCACCACATTCTGCATACACAATTTTCACACCTGCTTTCGATTATCTCCTTCACATGCCGAAGAGGAGTGCTTGCAGCCTGCAATACACCACAGCCACCACATTTTACGATGAGCACAGTAAATGCTTCTCCATTCCATTGAGTCTGTGGCATCTGAGCTTAATTACACACACAGCTGAAGTTGCGAATTTCTGTTTGCCTGCTTAATTAGATGGCGATGTGGTCTCAAAAGACCCAGTGAGATCTTTATTATCCCTGTTGAGAGAAGAATGCAATGATAGGGTAATTTTCATGCTGATGAGTTAAAAACACAACTTTAACATGTAACCATGCGCATGGGATGCACTGATTTTGCGGTGCTGGTTTTCCCTCAGAGACTTTTGATTTCTGTTTTCTGGAACTAAACTCATTCCAAGTATAAAAAGAATACAAGAGATACAGAGGTAAGACATATCCGTGGTCTGTTTTCTCATGCATATTACATTTTTAATGTCAGTTAAGAAAAACACTGCAACAGAATTAGCATATTCTCCATAATTACCTCTACTGCTCACCCAATGCTAACTAATTTGATTTGAGTGAATGTTCGGCTGTAATTTCAAACGCATTGTAGCAGATCAGCTTTTTGACCTGCCTTAAGAGCACTGAATAAGAAAGTGAGTGATGTCATGGCTAAGTAGAAGGAAAGACACTGTTAAGTTTTTGTTTAATATTTCCCATCTGAAGTTTTTTTATTGCATTGCAATATGATCTTCCAGTTGCATCGATCAAGGCCACCTTGATGCATTTTGAATCAGCTTGCAGAGTCTTAGAGCTGCATGGTTTGAGACGCAATTCGCCAGCATCAGGTGGCACATATGAACCACATGTGCAATGCCCAGACATCACATTAGCCAGTGCATGGTTGGCCCAGCTGGGGTTTAGGCTGCTGGTCTCCTTGTTAGAAGTATTTGTGTTAGAACTAAGAGTGTATGTCAGCAAGAACAGTGTGGTAAGTCACCAAAGGATACAGGAAAAGCCGTATCAGAAGTCTGGGGAAAATGTGCTTTTGAGATAATGATATACTGATACTTATACTGTAATACGGTGATATGGGAAGTTGAGAGTAGGCTGTAAGTTGCACCATCAGTTTAAATTCATTAATCAATAAATCGATTAAGCAGTGTTGGTTGATTAATAATTATCTTATTTTGTATTCAGGATTATACTCATGATTATTTCCTTGAAATACGATCAGCTTCTTCCCAGAAGGAGCTGTAACTCAATGCAGCTTTCAAAGATGACTAACACCATCTGCGGCTCTTGATCTGAGGTCCTCCCTATCCCCTGCCTGTGTGGGCATGTCCTTCTATCCTCAGCCTCTCCTCTGCTCTGTACCAGCCATGCTCGGCTACTGGAGACAATCCATCCAAACGCTGCACTGCTCCAGACATGATGACATGTGATGGTCTGCACAATGGCAGTAAATATCTTTCACCTGTTTCGATTATCTGCAGTGATTTTCTCTTACTCCTACACCAGAAAGCCATATTTGAGCATTCTTCTGCATTCTTGTTCTGAAAGCTCACTGAGAAGAGCTTGATGATTTCCAACTCAGAGGTTTATTCCACTTTCCTAGTGGCTTCTTGTGATCCTGATACTTGTATCCTGGTATTTAATTAGCTCTTTTTGAGAACTTTTGTTTCTGTCTCACATGCACTCTGCAGTGCTCATTCTCCACCCAAGTGTCACATAAGTTTCTGACTGCAAATCAATTGTTTGGGAGGACTTATGTTAATTATTTTTATTGCCGTTTGACCCAGCTTTCTGCAACCACCAGTAGCTGTACTGGTCTGTAGCAATGAGATTATGCCTTACGGGTGTGCCCGCATGGAAACCCAGGGGTCAGAGTCTATTCACTATTATCAGCCAGTAAGGTGTAAATTGGTAACACTAGACATTCATGTGGAGGAGTGTTCAACCAATTTTTGCTTTAATTAGCCTTGGTTTGTTTGCTTATTCAAAACAGTAGATAATGAGACGACAGTTTGCTCTCTAGAGCGTGCACAAGTTCTGCATTTTGTTTTAATTCCCATGCTCGCAGATCCAATGGAAAAAAAAAAGCCTCTCTTCGATTGCACCCCTGGGTTTTCTCTCCAGTGATCAATTCAAGAATCCGAGGCTGATGTTTGCCTCTGCCTGGGGTGTCGGCAAGGAATGGGTCCTGAATTAATTTTATCCGCAGTAGAAGCCAACTCAGAGCCGATAAACCTGTTCTTTCTTTCCCCCTGTCAGACGTGGGCGGCTTCTTCGAGGCCGGAACGCTGGTGAAGTACAGCTTCCAGAGGGACGCTGCGGCGGGCCAGGACGGCAAGGCCGCCCCCCAGAGCATGCCCACCGAGCTCAACCTCACCAGAGAGGACCTGGCTCTCAGCTTCAGCACCACCAACACCCCCTGCATTCTCGTGTACATCAGCTCCAAGACCCAGGACTACATGGCCGTCGTGCTGCGCCACAATGGCAAGTCGGAGCGCCGAGCTCTGATCCGCGTCTGAAAACCGGGAGTCCACATTAGTATCCTAAAAGAACAGAAGGATAATTTATAACAATTGCTTTCACTTATATAGTGCTTTTCTGGACACTACACTTAAAAGCGCTTTACAGGTAATGGGGACTCTCCTCCAGCACCACCAGTGTGCAGCCCCACCTGGATGATGTGACAGCAGCCATAGTGCGCCAGTCCTCTCCCCACACACCAGCTCTCAGTGGGGAGGAGAGCAGAGTGATGAAGCCAGTTCAGAGATGGGGATTATTAGGAGGGCATGATTGGTGAGGGCCAATGGGAAATTTGGCCAGGTAACACCCCGACGAGAAACGTCCTGGGATGCCCACAGAGAGTCAGGACCTCGGGTTTTACGTTTCATCCAAAAGACGGCGCCTGTTTTACAGTATAGTGTCCCCGTCACTATGCTGGGGCATTAGGACCCACACAGACCGCAGGGTGAGCGCCCCCTGCTGGCCCCACTAACATCTCTTCCAGCAGCAGCCTCAGTTTTTCCCAGGAGGTCTCCCATCCAGGTACTAGTGGAATTTGCTTTGTGGTACAGCAAGGGAACACTGATGGAGCAGATGTACAACACTACATATAATATTAAAAAGTTAATACAAACTTAAATGAAAAGCCAAGCAGAACACAATCACAGTAACATGCAATCTGTACAGCAACATTAACCATACATGTGGCAAACAGAATTGTAAAAGAGCAGCCGACAGGAGCCGAAATAGCTGAAGGTGATTCCAGAGTAGACAGTGATACTTTGATGACTTGAACATGTTTGCTTCTACTCAGCTGTATATTTGAAATACTATAAACTTCTGAATTAATGGTAAATTGTAGAAATGTGCTATCAACATGCTTTTGCTGCGTTTGATATGATTTGATTAAGGAGTTTCATTTAAATCAATTGCACCACCAATATTTCCATAATGATGTTAAGCATTAGGAGTCGACAGCAGTCTTAAGAAAATGCTGCAGAAATTGCTTTACTAGAAAATATAACAATGTTTAATGAGCCAATGTTTCTGTAAAAATGCATGTGAAATATATACTGCATTGATGTTAAAAAGAAAATGTTTATGTCAAAACATTCTTCACATCCATAGTTTAGATGTTCTTCAAAGGAGCTGCGCTCGGTTTATAGAATATTATTACCTTATTAAAGTTGCTTTATAAATATTTATCATATAAGTATTAATATTTATCACTTGCATTTGCCTTTGGGATAGCCTAGGTATACCAACAGGAATAAACCTCTTAATGTCATGAGGTGAATAATTGTCTCTCTTCAAAGCAGCGCAGGAGACAATAGGGGAAAGACTGTTATGCCTCACTTATCACACATCTGCAAAGTTTAACTTACTTTTAAAGAAAAACATCTTCAGGACGATGAGTTTTTCAAATCATTTAGCTCAGAACTCTCCTATCACCACTGTTTTTTTTTTTGAAGATCCCCGTACTTAGCAGCCGTTAATTTAATCCCATTTTGCACAGCGTAGAGTACAACATGGGTCTGACTCTCATGTTGAAGATCCTTAGTTTCCCCACAACCTGTCATGATAAAATCACCGCTTACATTTCGATACGTGAGCCGGTTGAAGTGTCAAGCTCAGGTAATTTGGACTCCTTGGAGAGGTCGTTAAGACCAGACTTGATCTTCTTGACAGGAACTCTGCAGATCCGCTACAACCTGGGCGGCTTGAGGGAGCCTTTCAAGATTGATGTGGACCACAGAAACATGGCCAACGGACAGCCCCACAGCGTGAACATCTCGCGGGAGGAGAGAACCATACAGCTGCAGGTAAACCTCACGGGCGGCCAGCACAGGGGCTGACACTGGCAGGCATAATGAGCACCAGAAGGCTCTGAAGGCCTGGAACAAAGCCTCCGAGATGAAAGCCGCAATAAAATGAGATGCAGAATTATTTGTGTTCTTTTAGGACCGGGCAAGGAGTATTCAACTCGCTGGGATGCAGAAAGATCCAGATGTTATTGGGTTGCTTCTTTTTCCAGGGTACGGCCTTTTGAATATTGATGGTCATAATACAGCCACGAAAACAAGAATATTCAGCTCTCTTGGATGTCCAATATGCTGTGCAGACACTGGTGAAAACCCTTATTAGGGTACTGTGATCTCTAAACGGCAGAAAGTCATATTTTTTAGGACATGTGGTATTTAGGAAAACTGACCAAAAACCTGTCTGCCTTATTGAAAGTCCCCTAGCAGTGAACAAGCTGGTAAGTGGAGGATGAGCCGTTCATCTGCCAAGTAATGTTGTCTTAGTATAAGAATAAGGCTGTTGGAGAGTTGGATCTGCAAGATCCTTGAGCCTTTACGTATAAGGTCTAAATAAACAGGCTTGTGTAATGAATCAAATTAGAAGACAGCATTTGCTGGCCTTCTAAAAATGGCTATAGAAAATGCCATCTAAAAATCACAACATCTGCAGTGACTCCCTCTTCGTCAGGTGTGAACTCCCCCAACTACAGCGTCACACTGATCTCTGCGATCTCTGATGGAAGTAGGCAGGAGGGGTTTGGAAGGGAGTTGGAAGAGGGCAGAGGATAGACGCGAAAGGCTGTCTGTTTCCCTGGTCAACCCGTAGGCTGCTGCTCCCCGTCTTACCAGTTTAGATGAACACAAAGAAAGAAGCACAAAAAGGGTCATCCTGGGGGGTGGCAGGGCTCTGTCATTGGGAAAGAGCCCCCCTCTGTCCGAATCCCCTCCCCGGTGTAGCCCCATCGCCCTGAACAAGCCCTGGTGTGTGAGGCCAGCCTGTTTCTGCCTCAGCTCTCAGCTCTCAGCTCTCAGATAAGAAGCAGTGGGCTCTTCTCTCCTCAATCAACTCTCTGAGCTCCTGGTGCTGCGTTTTCTCCTCCGTTCCCATCCCCAGTGTGGTCCATTCATTAAAAGGATCCATTTTTAGCTCTGTAAAACTGGCTTTTCAGCCAGAAAATTGAGACACAGGGCCAACTCCACTCCCCAGGATACCGGCACACAACTGTTTAAGACGCAGACCTGCGATCTTTCAGGTCTAGCAAGGGAAGAGAGTTTGGATTCAGTCTGGGAATTCAGTTTGTGTTAGTATGTCAAGTAGAGAACTTTGTGACTAAGATTTTGTTCCTAAACTTTAAGCTGTACATGTATAAATGGCATTATTTTAAAACATGATTGTTTAAAATAATAGGAAGCAATGATAATGATAATGAAAAAAATAGTGCTGTTACTTTCTTTGTTTATTTGTCTATCAGGAAATCAAAATCAGTGCCCTTACAATTGTAATGCCTGCTATGTGTCCTTTCTGAACATGTCCCTTGATCAAAGATGAAAGCCTAATATAAGTTATTAAACATATAAAATTAATGTGTTCTTTAGAATTTACTTCTGAATAGCAGCTGGGGGTCCCTCTTCGGGAAATCAGTTTCATTCTTTTAACTGAACACTGTGTGAAAACATGATCTAAAGCCCAGCGAAATTTGCAGGAACAGTACCTGCAGAGCATACTTCTTAACTTCATCAATGTCACCAAAATGTCAGGATGTTAACCCTCTATCAGAGTAGTGCAGAGGTTGTAAATTCCAAGGTTGGTTTTCCATGATCCAGTCCACAACATGGATCAGTGTGCAGTCCAGCATACAGAGATTACTGATATAATGAGGTAACAATGGATTCACTACAATTGGTCCATCATAGTGTGTTCCCCTGTTTTGCACTATACTATAAGGAGCTGGTTTCAGCGTGCCTTTTACTGCCTGTAAAACACTTATTCTGTAACCTTGAAATGTTAGTAGGATTTCTTATACGTTATATCTAGTTTTTACTCATGGTATTATAGCACCATGCATGCTTCAGTGCCTTGATATACTGCTCTAAAACAGAACAAACAGAAAAAGGATCAATTTAAAAAGTAAAAGGCACCACTGGTTGTATACAATAAGATTATAGCTTGGTTGTACCCTTGATAATGAACTGATTTTTTTTCATCTGGAAGAGAAGTGACTTGAACTGAGAGGGGGCACCGCGAACTTCATTTTAGACCAGTGATCTCCAAACAGTCAAACACAATCGATAGGTCCATCCCAGAGGATTGATCATTAAGATAAGTAGTAACCTACTTGGGAAAACGCCAGCTCTGAATGGCAGTTGTAGCTGTGACAGTGCCCATGGGTTGCATGTGCAAAGGTGCTAGATAGTTAAAAATAAGTTGAGTGTCAGTTTGCAGGACATCATATATTTTTTTTATCTTTAACCCAACCAAATATCCATCTGTGACACAGCCACTATACGGCCTCCAACACCCAGTCTCTCACAGTCACTGATGTTGTCCAAACACGCCTACAAACATCAAATAAACCGGGATTTTATTGCAGACTTCTCCTTTTTTAATGATTTATTTGCTAAAGCAGATGACAAGCATGGGGAGATGTGATGAGGCCCAGTAGCAGTCAGGAAAATTAAATCTATTTTCATATTTTCTTAAGTCTTGTTGAATGGACAGCCTCTTCTGTTCACTGTTATTTTCTTTCCATTAATTCGTATTGAAGAACTGTTTTAGTGCCTAGTGCGTATTATGTTTTCCCCAAAATGCAGTTCCCCTGGTGAACAAGATTCTCAGACCTTTCCCAGCAGTCTCATCGATGCTCCTTTACTCTAAATTTGTTCTCACCTCGCCTGGACATCAAATGAATATTAGAGCACTGTGCTTGAAGCGCTGACATTCCACTCCATCAGCCTTTTAGAACAAAAATGTTCAATTAATTTTGCTTATAGCTGTTCCTTTGCCAATTAGTTCTTTGCGTGATGTAGATGTGAGATAGGTCCTTTCAAGGTCATGTCCAGAAGGAAACCTCCCTCACAGCGAGACTCTTTGGAATGGTGATAAAGTGCCCTTCCAGAGAATGAAATCAAATATAAAGGAGATTGAATGGGAAGAGCAGTTTGAAGGGATGGGGAATTGATAGGGGCATCCTGCCTCTCTAAACATATGCAATTTGTTTTCTAAGATAAAGGTAAATGTTTCGGAAGCTATTTAATTGTGCAGCATTATATCCCTTCTTTCCATTAACAGGAGTGAGCACAAGGCGAAGTTCCTGAGAGACAGAACCATAAAATTTGAGTAAGATCAAATTACTGTCATAAAAGGGAGGAGGCTGTCAGTCATTTTAGCAAATGAAAAGGCTTTGGGAACTCTGGGAGAAAGCATCACATCAATCAATTTGACGCACTTCAACAGCTAACACCTCAGATGAAACAGTACACGCATTTTTGTTTATACCTTTATAAAACATTGTTAAGTGTACACATATTTTATCAAATGCAAATGCGCTCTCAATGAGATCTGGAAAATTATCTTCAAATACAAAACAATTTCTCAAAAGGAAAAGGTGTTTGTACGACTACCCACTTCAGAATAGGGATCCAGGATGCTACTCCTCACTCTTCCAGAGACAGAGAGGAGGAAAGGCACAGGAACACAAGGAGAACATGTCAACTCCACACAGACAGCACCCCAGGTCTGGAATTCAACCCAGGTCCCCACCACTGCGCCGCAGTGATACCCCTAAATCATATCATGATGTCCTAAAGCAGTAAATACACTGTCTGGGAATCTGGCATGAGGTGGGTCCGGTATGGTTTGTGTTGTTGACTGAATATCTGGTTTATAAATCCAGGATCAGGAGATTAAACTTTACTGGGGCTGTTAGAAGGCAGGAGGTTCAGGACTAGCCCAGTACGCAGCAAACCTCAATTGCTGGTTCTGGTCGGTCACCGTGTCTGAGGCTCTTCTCTCCAGCTCAGCTCAAACACCCACACACCGACCCCACAGTATCCCAGTAACATGCCGGCTTGTTTCAACTTTTAGTTATTTTAGTTTTTTTTCCAACAACATTCGTTTCCAGAGCTGGAGGCAGACTCTCCTCAACTTGCTTGCCTTATTTCTGACAATCTTAATAGATTGTAGATAGATAGATAATAGATAAATTGACACCTGAAGAGGGCTCCACGGCCGAAACGTTGTGTTCTCTTTCTTCTTTTTTTCAGCCTGGAATAAACCTATTACTTGTTCCTTTGAAGCCTACGCATGCTGACGCAGCTACCCACCTGAAATCTTAATAGACTGTCAATTTATGAACAAACACAGGTGGGAATGAGAATGTAACACACTCCCACAAAGTCCTTCTGCAGAGGTCCGATTGGTTACCTTTCAGGCATCACACCTAAACGAGGACGTTTCTGAATCTCTGAAATGTTGTACCCATTGGGTTAGTACCCATTACAAATCCCATTCAGTATTTAACAACAGAAATCAAGACTATGTCATAGCTAGAACGTTTATAGAAACTGGCTTATAATTAAAACTCCAGCAGACCTAGAGACAGCTGTCCTCAAGGACTACAGCTGGAAAACACTTTTATTCAATATGTATGTTTGTAAATACATAGGATTCTGCTCTGGAAAGAAAACTACAATCTTACCACCAGGGGGAGACAAAGCTCTGATGAACGCCTGCTCATTTACAGTATTCTGCAGGCCAGTCAAGAACCATTGACCTTTTGTTCTCTTAACCGTACACAGCATGTCAGTAAAATGTTAAATTGTTTATCGGTTCTCCACAGGGAGACCCCAAGGTGGAAACATGCCTTTTTTGCCTCTTTGTTTGTGAGATCCCGGGAATTAATCATAAAAATGGAGAGAGTGTGATTTAATCCACCTGTGATTCTCTCAATAAAGTGCGGACTCCTGTAAGCAATATATACCAGTGCTGTCTGTCAGCACAGCTGCCTTGACCGTCACACACCGAGTCTGCTTTCCAGTTGGGCAGACTGTTCCGCTGGCCTTCGGGCTGAAAGGTTGTTCTCTTCTCTGCCCCTTTCAACGACTAAGTCCCCAGTGACCGCGGGCTCTGTGCTCTTCCTTTACATGTTCTGCGTGTAGAGTCTCACGTACGGAGGAGCTAGCACGCTTCCCCGACTCGTGACCTGCGGGGGCAGAGGAGGACGCCGCTCTGAAGCTGGCTGGGCGCCGGGGGCTGGAGTGGGCACTGGGAAATGAGCATCTTTTCTCTTTCACAGCTTGATCACTACCCTCCGGTGAGCTACACTCTGCCTGAGGCCTCCGACGTCCACTTCAACCTAATCAAGACACTGTTCCTGGGCAAAGTGTTTGGTAAGTCCGTCCAGCCTGTTTTAAAATGTGTCTCTGGTTTTTTTTTTTCCCTTGTTTCTTATTTTCCTCTTGTCAGGGCACTTCACGAGGCCCTTAACAAACTATGAATAACCTACAGTATTTCTAAGAAGGGCGGGTTTGTTGGGCTGTTGTTTTGTTGTCCCTCGCAAAAGACTGTTCACACAAATGTTTTACGGGAAAAGGAAACGACTAATGAATCACTGTGCTGCGATATGAAATACCAGCAGGAGGACAGTTATGAAGGCTGTTGACTGAGGTGGCCAGTATGTCCCCTGTGGGAGTGGCTGAAGCTGGGGTGACCCACTCGTAGGGGTACCGCCTAGTGTTCTGGTGAGGCCGTCGAGTTTCTGTCCACTCCTCTTCCTTCAGCCTACAGCCCAGGTGAAACCCTTCGCTGTTCTGGCCCACTCGCTGTTCTGTGCCCTGTGTACCTGCTCTGTACGTCCTCTGACCTTGCTGCTTCCTTCTTCTCCACTCTGACCAGTGATCTTGTCTTCGTCCAGTCAGCCACCTGATCATTTCAGTTCGCAGCGGAGACCTGGCAGGACCTGCCAGACTTTGGCGCTGAAAGGACACCTCGGTGCCCCCTCTGAATCACTGCGTCAGGCAAGGCTTGCTACATCTGCTTAGTAGCTCAGGTTTACCGTAAGCGTTTCCAGACTTCATCTCGCATTTATTGGTTTTGTGCTGCATGTGCCACAGTCCAGTTTTCTCCTGAAAGCGAGTGGTGCAGCAGCTGCAGACACAAGACACAGACAGCAGACATCATGAAAGAGGTGCCCTCTCTGAAGCCCCCACGGTCACCGATGGCCGTTTTGTGGTGAGGGCAGTCCACATGCCCCCCCCCATCCGCTGGATTCCCATCGTCGTTCTATTATTTTAGCGGCTCTTCTTGAATTTTCAGTCCCTTTCCTTTCGATCGCGGTGTCTTGATTCAAATTGAGAAGCGTCTGGAGGTCCTGTAAAACACATGAATACATTAAAAATAAACCCGGCAGTTTGCTTTTCGCAAAATAGATTTGCGTAAAAAAAAGGGGGGGTTTGGTTTACAGCGGGCAGTGCAGTGAGGGGAAATCTATAAACTCCGACCTCTTGTTGAGGCAAGGTCAGATCATCTTCCTTGGCCTCCATACAACGATAACATTAAGAATATGATCACCGGGATAATACCGGTAAGTGAACTGCTACTGTATAAAAATTACCTTAAAAAGCTTCCGGTAAGTTAAGAGCGAGACGGAATTTGAGCATGCAGCTCCGTGCCGTGATCGATGGAGAACAGATTTTAAACAAGTGGGTAGCTGCGTCAGCATGCGTAGGCTGCAAAGGAACAAGTAATAGGTTTATTCCATGCTGAAAAAAAGAAGAAAGAAAACACAACGTTTCGGCCGTGGAGCCTTCTTCAGGTGACACAGATTTTAAACAAGCTCAGTGCGCCTTGGCGCAGGACATCGATCCCTGAGGTTCTCACACACCGGAAGTTACCTGTTGCGGTAGAGGTATGGTGGCAATGATGACTCAAGCACTGGGAAGCGACACCCCCCCGGCGATCACAGGGCGCCTTCAGAGAAGCGCCGATTACCGCAGAGGCTCCAGGTTAACTGTGGGAGAGGGATTCAGACGCACAGAGCACTTCTGAGGTCTTGCACCCTATTATAGTCTTCCCACTTGGCGATAGACCGTCCGTCTCACACAGGCAGTCACCAGTGCAAACAATCTCTGTCCTGCAGGCTTGGAGCTTCATTTAACAGTCTGGTGTCGTCTGTGGTTCCTTTTCGTGAAGATTAGAGGAGTTTTTTTTCCCCCCACAAACCTTTATGATACGCATCAATCTGTCGTACGCTTTAGGGTGCGGTCTTGTTTTGGAGAGCTTGGTGCATGCTCAGCACTTGTGTGTGAAACGGAAAACCATATACCTTCAGGGGCACTGAACTACAAGCAGAGGGCCCGATGCAGTGTGTCAGCCACAACATTTGTAGGTTTTATCTACAGTATATACTTTTCTTTAAAGACTGTAATACTAAGAGGTTGTGTAATAGGATATCATGAACAGCAGAGGGCAGCAGAGGGACATAGTGGTGAAACGCGGTTGAAAAGGTAAATCGAAATTATGCTTTAATGCTCGTGTTTAATATCGGTAATGCGTTTAATAATATCTGAAATGTGTTATGTGAAAATTTTCCTAAATGTATCTTAAAATGGGGGAAATTCGGGTATTCTCTAATATACATGTGTTTCGTTGGAGTTTAATATACGGATCATCCAACGTACAATACAAACGTTATCACCTTTTTACTCATTGTGTAACTAGAATTACAGCACAGGTCTCGTTCCGCATCATGGTGGAAATAGCAGTAGCAAAACGCTTTTTGTTTCGAGGTGATTAAAAACATTCGTATGAACTGCAGTTGAATGATATTCTTAAAGAAGCAATATCGATCCTGACCTTTGTTTTCTTATGCATTTTATTCAAATCGCAGATTATTTCAGCAAATGGAGGCTTCCTTTTGGAAAATGTGTTATTAACAACAAAACAATCCGTTATTTTGACAAAAAACAACCGTACATTTTCCATACTGCTCCAATCTTGATTATCGTTCATCGCAGGTCTGTCTTATGTTAAATGGCCAGGAGCTGAACTCTCTGCATTACCTCATATTCCTCAGAATATTGGATTACTCCATAAGTGCAGTGGATCCGGGGCTGTTATCAGACTCTGCTTTCTTACAGTTGTTAAAAAGAAAAGCATTTGTCCAGCAATGGGCAAAACAGCTTAAAGACACAGAGCAGCCAAATTTAGGAGCATAGTGTTAAACAGCTTTAACAGACAGAGTTGGGCTGGGTACTGGCTTGAGGAGGGGGTTGAGGAGCAAAACGTCAGCCTGTGTGAAATTCTGACATTTAAAAGCTCAAAAAGGAAGTGTAACTTTGTGTGGCAGCACGAGAGCCGGCACCCGGTCGGTGGGGAGGATGAGATCACGGTGATGTGCACGTCCAGCACAGCTCGTGCAATGAGAAGCTTCTTACATCCCTGGCTGCCCGCATCGATCGGTGCTCCGTTCCCATGGGGACGGTCCAGCCTGCCAGTGGAGGAGAGGAGAGGCGCACCACTAGTCAATGGTATCTGAAGGGCACCAGGAGGCCTGTGTCTTCAGCAGCAGCAGCCAGGCTCAAGAAAACACAGCTCCCCTTCTTTGCCTGCCCCATGTCCTCTGAAAGCCCAAACTCGTGTGCTTTGTTGGAGTTTCTGCTTTAATTCGCAGTGTCAGTGGTTCTCAATCCTGCTTCTGGAAGACTGGTTCTCAGTTCCAGTCCTGTATTGTGCCACCAGTACTTAGTGGTGCCTATAAGTGATCTGCTTGCTGACTTCCACTTTTTTTTCCTCCCTTGGTTTAATGTATTTCCCTATTTTAAGTGCATTATTTCCATCCAAGTTCTACAAACAACTTTATTCAATCTCTCCTCAACTTGCTGATTAAGAATATGCTGTCTTATTTCTAACTGAACTGCTTTTAATAGGTGATCATAGATGATGGAGAAGCACATGTGGGAATGACTTTATCACACACGCCCACAATGGGAGTGCTTCTGTATCAGACGTGCTTACAATAGGAGTGTCACTTTCAGACACGCTCA